ATCTTGAGATTCTGGCTTTCTCACTTTGTCAACATCTTCAATGATTTGATCTTCAAAGAACACTACATCACGGCTTCTCACAAGCTTCTTCTCAACTGGATCATACAGCTTGTAGCCAAATTCATCAAGACCATAACCAATGAAAATGCACTGTCTAGTCTTCGAGTCCAACTTAGATCTTTCATCTCTTGGGACATGCACAAATGCCTTACAACCGAAGACTCTGAGGTGATCATAAGAAACTTCCTTTCCACACCAAACCTTATTAGGAACTTCATTATTCAAAGCAATAACGGGAGATAAGTTGATAACATGAACAGCTGTGAAAACTGCCTCTGCCCAAAAAAAACTAGGCAACTTTGCGTCATCAAGCATACATCTGACTCTCTCCATAATTGTCCGATTCATCCTCTCTGCTAAGCCATTTAATTGAGGAGTTTTAGGAGGAGTTTTCTGATGTCTAATACCGTGCATTCTGCAATACTCATCAAATGGGCCACGATACTCACCGCCATTGTCAGTACGAATGCACTTCAATTTCTTCCCTGTCTGTCTCTCAACAAGGGCATGAAACTCTTTAAACACACCAAACACATCACTTTTGTGCTTCAAAGTGTAAACCCAGAGTTTCCTAGAATAATCATCAATGAAGGTCACAAAGTAAGATGCACTTCCAAGTGATCTAACCTTCATTGGTCCACACACATCAGAATGTATCAACTCAAGTGGCTCCGGCTTCTTCGAAGGAGAATTGCTCATAAAAGAAACTCTTTTCTGTTTCCCTGCCAGGCAATGAACACATATGTCCAATCTAGCTTCCTTTACTCCTGAAAGCTTCTTCTTCTTGGCAAGGTAATCAATCCCCTTCACACTCATGTGGCCAAGTCGTTTATGCCACAATTCTGATGCACATTCTTTTGCTGCCACATTCACTGAATCACCAGAAATAGAGCTTTGTAAAGAGTACAAGTTAGAAGACTTGTTACCTCGTGCAATAACCAGCGAGCCTCGAGTGATTTTCCAATGTCCATCACCAAAGAAACAACAGAAACCATCATCATCGAGTTTTCCTGTAGAAATGAGATTCAGTCTGATACCCGGTGCATGCTTTACATTTTTAAGTTCCAGCTTTGTGCCATTGCTGGTCTCAAGACAAACTGTACCGGTACCAATCACCTTCACCTGGCCATCATCACCCATTCTTAGCTCTCCAAAGTCACCTGGAGTATATGAAGTAAAGAATTCCTTCCTTGGTGTAACATGGTAAGATGCGCTTGAATCTACAATCCAAGTTGTCTCATGGCATGCAACGTTGACGGCGTTCTCATCACAAGCAAGAAGCAAATCTGCTCTAACTATTGCAACCTGGTTCTCTGTGTGATCATCTTTCTTGTCTTGCTTCTGTTCCCTTTTCAACTTGAAGCAATTTTTCTTGATGTGACCCTTCTTGCCACAAAGATAACATTCAACATCCTTGTGCCAAGACCTTGACTTACTTCTGCTTTTATCTCTACCCTTCTGACCCCTTTGTTTGTTTCTCCCCCTATCATTTGTAACCAAAATATCTGATTGAGAAGTGGAGGTATCTTGAGATCTTCTTCTTGACTCTTCATTCAAGATACCACTCTTGACATACTCCATGGTCACAACACCGTTGGGAGCAGAATTGGTTAAAGAAACCCGAAGTGTTTCCCAAGAATCAGGTAGAGTGTTAAGCAACCAGAGACCAAGTACCTCATCCTCAAATTTGATGCCCATGCTAGACAACTGATCAAGAACACCCTGAAAATCATTGACATGATCATTGATCAATGTACCTTCCTTGAATCTTAGATTCATCAATTGTTTTAGCAAAACAATTTGTTATTGCCCGTCTTGGAAGCATACAGGGTCTCAAGTTTATCCCACAGGCTTCTGGCATGTGTCTCGTTGATAATGTGATTCATAACATTATCTTCAACCCATTGGCGAATATAACCACAAACTTGTTGGTGCTCAAAGTCCCACTCTTCGTCTGACATGCTTTCTGGCTTTGCAGTTGCAAACACAGGTAGATGTAATTTCTTCACAAACAAAAGATCCTTCATCTTGGCCTTCCAAATGTGATAATTTCTACCATTCAATCGTACCATATTACTCATATTTGTCTCCATGTCAAATGTACCCAATCAACAACCAGGGCTCTGATACCACTTTGTTGGGAAAATCCTACTTCTTGCGACAATGAAAAATCACAGAACCGACAGGAGCACAAACACAAGATGATACACAATAGCCAAAAAATAAATATCAAACACAAGAACACACGATTTACGTGGAAAACCCCAAATCGGGGAAAAAACCACGGGACCACCACCAACCAAATAATCCACTATAATAAATCTTGGGTACAAAGTTTCAGGCTACCACACGAGCCAAACATCCACAAATCATCAAATGTAATAATTCTAGGCCAAAGACTTCTATTATATTCCACAGGCCTAAACAGAATACCAACTCGTACTTAAAATATTCAACCACCACAAGCAAGATGAAAAGAATACAAATAGTACGAGAATACCCAAAAGATGCCTGGAACAAACAAGCTGACCTCCAATAATATTTGATGAAGAAACCACCCAAGAAGTTAGACAAACTCACGGCTAAAATTCATCACTTGAGTCAAGGATGAAGAAACAAGCTGAAGAAGCTTCACTGCCGCCGAACTGCCCTCTCTCACGTTTTTTAACCTTTTGTCTTCAATTCACCAACCAACCCAAATCACATATATTACATTATATATATAATGGAGAATGAACCAAAAAAAAAAAGGAGAAGTTTCCTTTTCACAACTTTGGTAAGCAAACTGACGCACCATTCCATAATTCATCCATATATTCCTAATTAAATATTATTATATTATATAAATATAATAATAATAATAATAATTAGGGCTAAATATTAGAGGAAGTCCAACAAAATATAGTGGATACAAATTGGCTTGGTCCAAACATGAGCTATTTACCACATAGGAGGGAAGCCCAACTCAACAAAAAGTGTTAATGACTCAATAAGTCTAGGACCAAAAATGGCATTAACTCCGGAATACAATACAAGAATATTTAATTATGGTTATATTATTATTGTGCCTCACGACTATTATATACTAACAGTACTTGAAAAGAAACTAATAATAATAATAATAATATAAGTGGTAATAATAATATCTAAAAGTAATTAAGTATTAATAATAATAATAGTAAGAATATTAACGTAAGAGTTGTAACATAGAATAAATTGTAATAATTAATAACTATAGTCTAGGATTAAATTTGAAATTGTCAGGAAAGACAAACGACCTCTGGTGAAATCAACTCTTAAATAATTATATATCGATTTAAATATTCTTAATATATTACAACAATTCAATTCCGTGCATCGCACGGGTGAAAATACTAGTCTGTATAAAAAAGTAAAAATGAAGTAGATTGAAAACTTAGCTCAAAAGTGAGGGTTTACTGAAACGATTTGAACTCAAGTCACCGATTGCCACTTCTACCATGGTTAGCGCCAAGGTTAGCATATATCTCTTTCCAGAATCGCAAATCGGACAAAGGATTCGCTAAAACCCTAGACTCAGATTAATTTTCCCCAAATTTTTTGGGGAAAAAAACACTATCGCAAATATAGACCACATAAAAAACCAGATAGAGAACTGTTACACAGCTCAATCGGGAATCGGTAAGCATTTAAAGTAGTCGTGAAAGCTCTGCACTGAAATTGCGACATTACCTGTTTGCATGTCGCAATCCGGTGTTCAAGACTTAGTCATCTTCATAGTGAAGGTGTTTTTAGCCAATCCTTGTCCGATTGAAAGCAAGAACCTAAACATGGCTTTCTCAGAAATGAAAGAACAACAAAAAATAGGATGAAATTACCAGAAATTGCACTCAGATTCCCATATTAACAACAGGATCTGTAACTTCTCTATAGAAAGATAGGGTTTCTTCACCGTGCCATAGTTTAGAGAGGGAGTACATAACCATTCCTGAGAAGAGAGAGAGAGAGAGTAGCTCACGGAGAAGATAAGCTGAGGAGCAGAGAGCGAGATAGCGATTAGATTAGGCAACCAAAGTCGCAGAAAAGGCGCACTGAACTGGAGTATCACAGTCAACCAAAACACTAAACCAGATTAGGCAACCAAATTAGGAAATGATATAGCAAATAACTCACATATTTGTCTACTTAATAATGTTTGTATAATAATATTTATAATTTACTAGGATTCTTTGCTCAAACTAATCATAAAATAATTATTAGCCCTCTATAAAATGTAGACATTTATATAACAAGTAGTACCTTACGTGAATATAACAAGTAGTACTGATTTTTGTACACGGTCAGTTGTACGTAGCTGCATCTCGGGTTAACAATCCAGATGGTCTCAAAATATTGATAGTAAAAGACTCAAGTTCAACTACTACATCAACCACTAATGTTGTATATCATGAAGTTTTCAATAATTTGTAATTTTGTAAACTTTTCTTTTTTTAGTACCATATCATTAATTGCAACTATTTGTAATATACCATTTATATATTGTTTTTGTTGAATTTCCAAACATATTTCATTTATATGTTATAAATTATAACCGCATTAGTTCATACAATGTATAACATAACATCCACACAATTAATACTTTTTAATTTACATACCGTGCATCGCACGGGACAAATACTAGTTAACAATACAATATAACTGTCAATTACCATGTACTCATGTAGTGTGATGTCATCTAGATTATTCATCCAAGTGGATGGTCAAATGTTCGAATTCCAATGGTGGGGGTATTAGATTCTTTGGACTGAAAATGTTTGAAAAAGTATAGAACATATATTACCTTGTAAACAATCGTAAGTATTTCAAAACAATACAATATATACATAATATACTTTAACAATGTAAAAAAAAAAAACATTATATTCTATTTTGTTCAGCCGCGCCTTTTTTGTTCTCTTTCTTCTCTAACGAATCAGCGGATTCGGCGCCACCCCTCTTTCCAATCCATCGGCGGCAACTCTCTCTATTAGGCGGTGAGTAGTGGTGGCTACAAACGTTTTGCAACGGCGGCGAGTTGGTGAGGTTTAGGAGGAGAAGAGCGGCGGATAATCTCGACCAGAGGGACGACATAAGCTAAGGTTTTCCTGAGCCGGTGGCGACATCCTTGTGGCTGCAAAGCAGTTGAATGGTGGCTGTTTGAACAGGCGTGCAGAAATCGAAGCCTCCATTAGTCAAAGCTTCGAGAACTGTCTCAGATTGCTGTGATTTGAGGTCGGAGAACCGAGTGGTTGTTAAGGCTTTGTTCGTCGGCGCCATAATCGTGGCAGCGCGCCTACTGGCTGCTGTTAGGAACCAAATAGAAAGGAGTTTTAGGGCTATTTTTCATTGGAGAATTTGAGGACCGCCATTAAGAGTTCTAAGAAACTCTGTGCGGTATGTATACAAAACTATGCTTATTTTTATGGTAGATTTCATGTGATTGTATAGTCTGCGCCTCTGCAACAAATAAGCAAATGCAATTCAAAAACATTGATCTATATTCGAAGCTATTTCTAGAACGGTAGAATCTAATGGGGGCAAAACGAATAAATGAATCTAAAGAGGCTTCATGAAGTTTATTAAGAGCTCTAAGCAAGTTTGTTTCCAGTCTTAAATTTCAATAGGCTATTTTTATTTCATGAAGTTTATTTTTCAATGCAGAGACTTCAATGAATTCAGCATGCTTAATGCAGTACCATTGTGCAAAATTCAGGAAAATGTCACAAAGGTGGAATCTCACCTTGCTGATGCTCGAGTATATATGATCACCCACCCAAAAGAATTGATGTGGTATGATTATACAAGTGAGAATGTGACGGTAAATATGGTACCGAAATAATTATAGAAAGTAACAATGAACGGAGTTGTATTACTAAGAGTAAGTTCTGAGTACAAGAATCGGAGTGCCCCTTTGAATGTAGAGAGTCTCCTATTTATGCTGCTAATGCTCCAACATTCTTCTGTCTCAGTAACGCTCCCTCAATAATGAGGAGCCAAGTCCACATTTATTTACCATATTAATGAAGGAGTGACTATTCATTATTCCCATAATTGTTTTGTCTTGAGTTCGTTATGTGACCGTTGGCATACTTGAGGTAGTCCTGGGTCGGGTGCTTGTTGGCTTCCTTGAGGTGGTTCCGGACACCCATTTTTCTGTCAGAATGTTTGACCACTTTTCTGATATTTGGTTTTGAAGAGGCATCTGATTACTATTTCTTTGTAGTGCCAATATTTGATTAATCAAGCATATCTGATTAGCCACTAAACATGCTTCATACTGACTTCCCAAGCAAGCTAATGTTTATGCTTGGTTATTGTCTCAGGTTGATCTTGATCCATATGGTTTGCCTTTTGTTTTAATATCCTGGACTCTGCTGTTCAATCTGTTGGTGATGGAGGAATATTAATGTGTACTGCAACTGATATGGCAGTGCTCTGTGGAGGGTATGGAGAGATTTGCTATTCCAAGTAAGGTTTATGAGCATTTAGTTCAATACTGCAATTCTTTTGATAGTTAAACATGGACTTACTTGGTTGCAATACTGCAATAATAATAATAATAATAGTAATTATTATTATTATTATTATTATTATTATTATTATTATTATTATGCAAAAACTTGATGTATAGTTGAAATTAACAAATAAACAAGATAAAATGAGAGCTGAACATGGAAAAAACATGTATACATTATTAAGCAACAATATTGGTTTTCGGAATAGTCTTCAATAACAAACTCAAGTTACAAGTACAAATATATTGATATGACATGCTAAAACAAATGTAACTAACATACCATAAATTCTTATAAAATTGTGAGCAATTGACGTTTGATCTTGTTGAGTTTTGTCAAGACAACTCGAATATCAACCCTCTCTTCAGGAGATTCCACTGTGCAATTCAAAGCCAACTCCAAAATAGTTGATATGCATTGCAATTTTTGACTAAATTGCAATTCTTCGGCCCTTAATAAGGTAGAGTCCACAATCAATTCAGGAGTGCTAGAAAGTGAATTATAAACCCAACTCTTTAAACTAAGGTCTCCTGAAAACATTTCATTACTTGGACGCTTCCTTGTGAAAACTTCCATTAACATTATTCCATAACTATAAACGTCACATCTTGTGGAAACCATTCCTCTTGATCCATACTCTGGCACAAACACAAAACAAATGAAATGTAAGATTACCAATCCTTGTTTAATAATACGTTATAATCTATGAAAAATAATATTTTCTTAAAAAAGTTATAATCTATGCAAAATAATATTTTCTTAAAATGAAACAAATTAATAAAGATGAAACATAGTATACTTATCATCACCTGGGGCAATATATCCAGTTGTAGCCATGGTACAGGTATAAGCAATTGATCTATCATCTCCAAGTAACTTTGAGATCCCAAAATCACTTACATGTCCCACCATATCTTCATCAAGTAATACATTACTTGGCTTTAGATCACAATGAACAACTGGAATGTTGTTACCATAGTGCAAATACTCTAACCCACATGCCACATCAATCATTATGTTTAATCTTTGCATGATGTCCAATGATTGATTTTCATAATATAACCAATTGTCTAGGCTACCATGAGGCATGTACTGAAGTATGAGTGCTTTAAAGTCTAAGTTAGAGCAAACACTAATGACCTTTGTGAGATTTCTATGACGGAGGTTGCGCAACACTTGACATTCTATATCAAAGCTCTTGAATGCACCTTCAACTTGCGAATTAAATACCTTGATGGCCAAGGACAACCCATTAGTAAATATGCCCTTGTAAACAGAACCAAAGCTTCCCGTCCCGAGCAAGTTGCTGCTATCAAACCCTTGAGTTGCTTGCTGAAGTTCATAATAGGAAATTCTCGGAGGCACCAGTTCTTGAAACAAATTAACTTCATTAGCAATTGACTTTTTACTTTTGCATTTATGCAATATAACCAATGAGATTCCCACAACCAATATGGCTATAGAAATTAATACAATCCAAAGCAATCTCCTTATGGGTCGATGAGAGTTTGAAGTAGGAGCACAAGGTGGTACTTTTAGCCTTGAGGAACCACACAAGCCTTCATTGGACAAAAAAGATAGATAACCAAACTTTTTAAAAGGACCTTTGCTTGGAATTTCTCCACTTAATCTGTTGAAAGATACATTCAAAAATTTGAGATAGCGGAGTGTCTCCAATGATTTGGGAATCCTTCCTGTCAAATTATTGTTTGACAAATCCATATGTTCCAAGCTAATCATACTTGCAAAAGTATTAGGAATAGATCCTTGTAGAAGATTATTTGCTAGGATAATGTATTGCAATTGTTGCAAACTTCCAATGGTACTTGGAATGTATCCTAAGAAATAATTGTGTGATAAATTGATGTATATTGTAGCTTTTAGATTTCCTATCTGTTGCGGCAGAGATCCATTTAAGTAATTTGAAGATAGGTCAAGGATCAGGAGGTCCTTAAGATTCCAGAGGCTTAATGGTATACTGCAATTCAATCTGTTGGGGTTTAGATAGAGATTCCTTAGGGAAGTAACATTCCCTATGCACTCAGGAATAGAACCCCAAATTATATTGCCACCCAAATTCAATTCCCCTAAGTGTTGCAAATTACAAATGCTGCTTGGCAACACCCCACTTAATCTATTATCAGAAATTAACAACCGTTGAACCATTTGAAGACCACTTATAGATCTAGGAACAACTCCACTCAATTCATTTCGTGATAAGTCTAGTGATGTTATACTACTTAAGTTACCAATTTCTTTTGGAATTTCCCCCATGATATTACAACCAGCCATTGTAAAGGTATCTAAGGAGATGGAGAGATTACCAAAGGAACTTGGTAAGACAGTATTAAGAGTATTGTTATCCAACCAAAGTTCTCTCAGGTATTTACAATTTGCTAATGAAGTAACAATATTGAACCCAACAGATGAAGATTCAGTGGTCAACTTATTATCAAACAAGTCCAACAATCTCAACCATCTTAGTTCTCCTAAAGAGTTCGGAATTGGGCCATTGAAACTATTAGAATCAAAGTATATGGCCGTTAGGTAAGAACAATTGGAGATATAGCTAGGAATATTTCCAGTGATTCTATTCAGAGAAAGGCCAATACCATCAAGATTTGGAAGTTTATAGCCCATTCTAGGGGGAAGACTACCTGAGAGATAATTGGAATTAAAATTTATTTGCCATAGAGTAGAGATATTGAATATGCACCACGGTATGGAGCCACTGAGAGAATTGAACTGTAAATAAAGTCCTCCCAACCTTGGATAATTGCAAATCTCTCTAGGTATAGTACCTACAAATCATACAACAAAGGAAACAAATTCTTTAATACATTGTGAGAACATATTAGCTAGTATTCTAACGACAATACAAGAAAAGTAAAACCTTCCTTCCAAACCAATCATAATAATACACACTATGAATATGTGTAAATTATATTTAGATTATGCAATCTACAAGTTATGTTAGAATTTAAAAACCCCTTTAATTCATAGCAACAAGACTTTCCAAACAGCTAAGCTCTTATAGTAGTAAGACTTTATTGCTGCATAAGTTTACACGCAGAAGACCTCCATATAGCAATAATGTTTTTTCAAGCAATATGAGTTCATTTGCAATAAAAGTTTGAAAGTTGTAGGAGTTTTCAATCCACAAGTCTTATCCAAGCAACAAGGGATGCTAACAACAAAGGATAACTAATAGTAGAAGTTTCTATGAATAGTAGAAAATCTTTGATAAGCAGTTGAACTTATAAAGAAGAGGAAAATGGTAAGAAGTAGAGATTATTTTCAAGGACTATCAAAACATTGTCTGTCCAAACAACATATAAGGAATCTATACTGCTAATTTTGAACATTGGCATAGTAACCGATGAAGAAACTTGGCAAATCAAGTAAAGCTGCATTGGAAAGTGCAATAGCTTGACTTGAAGGACAAGTTGCTCGCAACAGGTTGATAAAAGTCTACACCTATCAAACCTCAAAAGATTAAAATATTACAAGTTGCGAAGTTCAAATTTGTCTCCCTCCAATTAAAGAATTTGAAACTCAGTATAAATAAGAGTGATGCAAAGATCCATTGATGGGGTAATCATGGACAATTTAAGGCACCAAGATTGCCTTGGATTACCCCATCTAAAATTTGAAGATTTCAAAATTTTGTCCAGGGAAGTTATTTTAGATATGGAGGAAAGATTTATCAAGCTCGTTGGACAGATTACTGATCTTGGCAAGGAGATGAGCCAAAAGAAGATTTTCCTCAAGGTCCTAAGAGGCTTACCACTTCACTAGGAAATAAAAGTTATAGCTACGGCCAAGCACCTTGTGCTCAGATGACACCTCTGTGACTTTGATAAGTGCCAAAAACACCTATAATTAAGGGTCTTTAAGGGTGTGTTTTATGCTTGTTTTCTCTCCTTTGTGCATGATTTATGGTTATTTAAGCTAAAATGTGCATTGTGCTATAAAATGCTACCACACGTTGTATTTATATATTTTGGAAGGTTTAAGCTCAAAAGGATACATGGTGGCATACATCGGAGCATCGCAAGTTAAAGAGCAAATCGGAGCCGGGCTGAGACCGATCCACTCACGTGGAAGCACACGTGGAAGTGGAATATAAACTTCCACGTGACCAGCCCACGCACGTGGAACGGTTCACCCATGTGGACCGGGCGCGTAGAAGGGAGCAACGCGGCGTTTTTGAAGTGTAAATGGAGGGAAGCTATTTAAGGGCTGAGATTATATTAGAGAATGAGACTTTTACATCATTTCACGACATTACACATTAGATAGCTTGGATTTTCTCTCTCTAGGGTTCTTAGTTCTCTCTAGTCTCTCTCATCGTGAAGACTCTTGAAGAAGAAGACTGACAACCTTCCATTCGAGGATCATTGTAGAAGCTTTCAACATTTGCAATTCAATTTGGTACTCTTTATTGCTTTTATAGTTCATTTGATTGTTTGATTCATGATTGCAATGTTGAGTTGTGTAGCTATGAGTGGCTAGAGTTCCTTCTAGGATTTGAATTGTGAAGTCTTAATCATGATGCTTATGTGATACTTAATTCTCAATTAGGGTAAGGTGATTGCAATGTGTATGAATCTTGTTGCCTTAGGGTGATTTGCATGCACTCATGGAGTCCTGCCAATTCCTAGAGTTGTGCTAACCAAGTGATCTAGGCAAGAGATTGCTAGATCACTTGAAGCTCCAATCCTTGACATTTCCTAGCTTAATGAGCCGAGAGGCCTAGGCTAGGAAGGTAGCGTAGGAAAGGTGTTTGATAAAAGGTTTCCTAGGTTCCTAGACCCCAAAGAGGTGTTCTAGTGCAAAGGAACAAGTCATAGTAGTTGAGAGGCGAAAGGACATAGCAAACCTCCCTAGGTTCTAATCATTGCAACACTCTAACCTAATGCTAAAGATCCTACATGCATCATGAGAAAGACAAGCAATTCAATCCTATTTCATTTCAATTGATTTTCAATACTTGTGTATGTTTAGCATTCTTTTTCACCATACTACATCTCATTTTATAATGCATGACAATTACTCGATGCACACGAACCTCTTATAATTCCTTAATTTGACTTCCATCTAGCGTTTTCAATATGTCATCTGTAAAGAACAATAAAACTCAGGAGTCATCCCAAATCTTTTGACACCAGATCAGAGTAAAATCCGGAAAACACACGTTTGTCAGGCCCCCCTTGAGGGAAAGTCACAAGATCGAATCCTGGTGGTGAGTGTTTGACACCCCGAAAATTATCCTAATTTCTGAATTTACTCCTACGACTGTTCTCTAAGTAGGGGATTAATCCTTTTATTTGAAAAGCCCAATTTTTCTCTAATTCTAACCTGATGAATTTATTCAAGCCCAATTCTCCTTATTTAAATTATCTTAGCCTAGTAATTCATTTGAGCCCAAATATTCTTAAGTCCTACTTATATATATATATATATATATATATATATATATATATATATATATATATATATATATATATATATATATATATATATATATATATATATATATTATATCAATTAAAGTCTAGTTTATTTGACTAATTTTTGTTTGTTTAACTTGTCAAACAACTAATATGAGTGGTAAACAACTTTTTGACCTAGATTATTATTGATGTCAATAAGCTAATAATGAAAAAAGCTATTTTGAGTAGCTTATTGATATCAACTTATTACATTTTTGTTCTAAAAGTCTAAATTATATTACCTTTAGCAGTTGTTGATTATTGTGGTATTTATATTTATTCAATTTTATTTAAATTTTACATTTTTTAATATAATTAGAGCCGCCTAGAGTCCGACATCTAAATTGAGTATTTGGCCTAAGATACACCGTCATAATCTTTCTATGCAAATTATATGTAATGATTCTATATAACAAATTTAATTTTGTAAAGTATAATAATGATATGTTGATTGATTTCAAATTTCAAACTAAAATTTTTTTGTCTACAATAAGCGAGAAAATGGAACTTTTTTTGGTTCAAGTGCGGGTATAGCTTCCCGTGCGGTTGTGCGGTTAAATCTGAGCAGTTGATCAAATTTAGATCAACGGTTCAAATCAATGAAAATTAAAAAAAAAAAAACGCGTATCTGGAACAAAGAAGTATAATCTAAGGCGCACCTTAAGTGTTAGATCTTAAGCACAAACTCACGCACATTAAGTACAAAACTCACACACATTAAGCACACCCTCACACACTTTAAATATTAACTCACAGACTTTAAGTTTCAACAACTACTGACATTAAGTACAAAATCCACGCACATTAAGTACAAACCCACGCACATTAAGCACAACATCACGCACATTAAGCACAAAATCAACACACTTTAAGTATTAACTCACGGACTTTAAGTTTTAACAACTACTCACGATAAGCACAACCCCACGCACATTAAGCACAAAACTCACGCACATTAAGCACAAAACACACGCACATTAAGCACAAAACTCACGCACATTAATCACAGATCCGCTCACCTTACTTTTGACCTAGATGTAAAAATTACAAAATTGCCACCGCGTTTTTTTTTTAAAACTTTGATAATCCTGAACGTTGATTTAAGCAAGATGAAAGGTCCAAATTTAACCGCACAACCGCACCTGGGCACCCTAACCGCACCAGAACCTAAATCATATATATATATATATATATATATATATATATATATATATATATCCCAAACATGTAAAATGCAATACAGCTCTACAATAAGTAGTAACAATATACGGAGTCAGGTATTCAATCTGAAAACCTATATCCTAAAGCCGGATGAAATATAGATAACAAATTAAACCGTCGACCATGAATAAATGTTAATTTACATTGTATACTGAATGTTCATTATTTGATAGTATATCAAATAATGAACATTCAGTACATAAATAATTTTTAAAAAAATGAATGTTTAGTTTATTAAAAATGTACTTTTTGTATGTTAAAAATGTACCTTATATTAGTGTTGACCTTAAAGCTAGGTAGACCATGATCTATTGTATAATGATTGAATATAAAGTGAGCATAGTCGTACTCCAATAATAAAATCAAAGAATAAGACGTTTATATTGGATCATTACCTGATATGTTGTTGTCATTCAAACCCAAAGCCAGCATTGAAGAAATATTAAATATATGCGGTGGTATCGAGCCCATTATGTTGTTGTTGTTAATAGAAAATCTTTCCAAGTTATGGAGATTGCCAATTTCTTTCGGAAGTTTGCCTAAAGAAAATATTACATACTGATTAGAAATCAACAGAACCATTATATTATTGGCGGAATATAATGGAGAAGTAACCCCCAAAGGGGTCTAGAAATTAAATGAGTAAAGAAGTATTACTTCAAATCGTACCTGTAAGGTTGTTACAGCAAATGAGAAAGTTCACAAGGCTTGTTATGTTTCCAACTTCTGGTGGTATGGTTCCCTCAAAATTGTTTCCATCCAAATTCAAGTATCTTAGTTTGGAACACCTAGATAAACTCTTTGGTACTATATCCCCACTTAAATGAAGATTCCCTTGTAAACTCAAATATTCCAAGGTGGAAATGTTGGAGATTGTGGATGGGATAGGGCCAGATAATTTATTAAAATCCAAAACTAGCTTCTTGAGAAAATGAAGCTTGCCAATATCCTTAGGAATATGGCCTTCTATAAGATTGGATGTGAAGTTTAAGGCTTCAAGATTTGACAAGTTTAGAAACGAAAGTGGGATAGAACCTGTAAACCCATTATGACCAAGATTCAATATTTGGAGATTGGATAGGAACCCAAACCACGAAGGGACTTCTCCAGAAAGATTGTTGGCACTAAAATCAAAAGCTCTCAATCTACGCAAATGATTTAATTCACTAGGTAAAACCCCAACAAAATTATTGCCACTTGCATTGAGAGAGACGAGAAACGAGAGATTTCCAAACTAGGAAGGAATGGTTCCAGAAAGTCCCATTTGAGAGATATCTAAAGCAGTCACTCGTCGATGACGAGAGCCACATGTGACTCCAACCCACTCACACACTGAGGAAGCATTAGACCAGTTGGTCATTATGATGGGACTAGTGTGTATGTTAATAGTAGATTTCAAGGCAAGAAGAGAAGACGCATCAGCAGTAATGTTCATGGCTGAGCAAACCGTTACAGAGAATAATAATAAAGCCAGAGGAAATAATGAAAAACATAGCTTCATCATCATTGAGAGCAATAATTGTGCGGTGTAGATAAGCAGTGGAGTGAAAGACGCCCATAGAGAGAGATGTATATATTCTACTGAGAGCTAAGAGTGTTGCGTTGAAGTCAAAGTATTTCGTCTACCCAGGGTCCACACAATAATTTGCCACTGGTGCGTGGACGTGGGATTTCTGTTCAACGTATTCGTCATGGACAATAAATAATAGGCGCTGAAGTAGTTAAATACTTCTTAGATAAAATAACATTTTTTTTTTTGAGTTATATACTTATATCACTTTATTCTCTTAAATTATTTAAGTGGTATTTTTTTTCTTGATATGTTAAATACATGGACATATTTACCCTTAAAATAAATATTTTATTTAGTTTTCTTCTCCAACAAATTATGACAGCAATTTGGTTCAAACCGAGTATATCTTAAACCAAACAAACCGAAAGGTTTCGATTACAATTTAGAACCGAAACCCGATATTTAGAGTTTATTAAAATCGTAAACCAGAATGGCTGGTTCATGTTCCAAACTGAAAAAATAAAATACATTATTTGTTGAATTTAGACTATTTTAAAAATAAAAATAAAATTTTAAAAGAATGTTTGAACAAACAGTTCAAACTGGATCCGGAATCGTGAACGACGGTTCAAAATCAAAACCAAATCGCGGTCATATATACTTATATATGATAATAATCATAATAAATGCGAAAAAGTATACTATTTGCAAATATTGTAATTCTAATTTTAAGTTAATGCTAGTAGTTGTTCTGATTTGAACTGATGGTCAACGGTTCAAGATCCAATTATTTCAGTTCATGATTTTAATAAACTGAAACCCAAATAATGAATTCTAGTTCTAAATCATAACTGAAAACTTTCGATTTGATTGCTATAGTATCCAGTTCAGTTCGAACCGAGTCGTGGTCATCCGTACGTATAAGCAATAATTTGTTGGAGATCATAGAGGTGAAACTTTGGAAGAATGACCAGGGATCGAGTCTCACCAGCGGCAGTGTGGGAGCAATCTCTCAAAGTGAGGGGGGCTCCTTGTGCGCAGTGAGCAAAGGTCTAGCCTCTATGGTTCATGTTCAGTTGAGTCACCATGATTTACATCCTCCCAAATGCTCTGTCGGGCCGGGGTGTGGGGAGCCCTTAGGGTTGGGGTTCAGCCTTTTGGAAGAATAATTTGTTGGAGAAGAAAAATAAATAAAATGTTTATTTTAAGGGTAGAAATGTCCATTTAATAT